GTTTTCTTCCTTCCTTACTTCGAGATGGCGGCCGGCGTTCTGCTTTGGGTTGTTGGTCCGAAAGAGAATGCCGTCAGTTCCTCCGCTCTACTCGGTCTCATACCCAGAGCCGGGACTGGCGGCGGCGTCGCTTCCCAGTTGGGAACTAGGCCCAGGGGCGCCGGCGCAGGCGCTACAAGCCAGAGGCCGAGAATTGCGTCGTCGATGAATTCGAATAGCGGGGTGTCTGCTGTGTACTCGAGCAGCACCGCCGTTGCTGCGAGCCCGGCAAGATCTTCGGAAGAGAAGGTCTACGAGGTGGTGCTAAAGCAGGCGGCGCTGGTGAAGGAGCTGCAGAGACGGTCGGCGGAGGAAGAGGCAGTAGCCGGAACGATATCGAATTGGGATCTTCTGAACGACGCTTACGATAGGTGCGGCGTGGTCTGCGCCGAGTACGCCAAAACTTTAGGAGCAGCGCCGGCGTGGTCTGCGGTGTGGGCGTTGACAACGCCGATGGGGCTCGTCGGGCTCCATCACCACCACCGCCGGGCCTCTAGCTCCTTCTCCGAAACCCTGGAGATCCGAATCGACCGGCGTCCGAACCCGGATCGGAGGCAGCAAGTTCGTCGAAGCCGCCGCCGACGAAGATATGGAAGCCGGGAATGGAACACGATGGTCGCTGTCGCTGACAGCCAAAGTTACACTTTAGTACCTAAAGTTTTTAAGAAGATAAAAATAGGTCCAGCATCATATGTGGAAAATTACATTTTAATACATTAAAAATTTCTCTTTACATTTTAACACCTAATAAAAAAAACATATACAGGCAGGTCCAAAGAGATGGGTACCCAAGCCCAATCCATACCCAAAAATAAAATCCCAACCCAACTCCACCTACCCAAATCTTACCCAAATCCATATAGAATAAATCCATACCCAACCCATATAAATGGGTATAATTGGGTTTGGGCAAAAATACCCATGGGTGGGTAAATTGCCATCCCTAGTTATTATGTGGCTCGCCAAACGCTCAATATTTGTCTATAATTCTAACTTTGAGACAGATCTACGACTGATGTATCCATCCTTAAAAACTTTGAAAGTATAGTATGTACCTTGGGGGTGGTGGGGGCCGGGCTTCAATTCTGTCCAAAATCTGGGGTTGTTTGGAAGTTGCGATTGTTAAATAGATGTATTGTTGAGAATGCATGTATAATATTATACATGTATTGTCGAATTTGATGCATTATAGAATACAACGTTTGGTATGTGTGATTGTGTATGTCGCATTAGCTAAAAGCTGAGACAAAACAATCTCAACTCAACTATCTCAACAATCACAACTAAAAGTTGAGATATAACAATGGCAAAATACACTTGTATAGCCATAATTTTCACGTTTGTGACAAATATAGCCATAACTATTCGAAAACACGAAATAGCCACGATTTTAAATGTTGCATGCCAAATCTAGCCATTTCCGTTACAAACTTTAACGGTGTTAATAACTCCGTTAGTTAGGTTAACGTTAAAGTAACTAGGATGCCAAATCATCAGACACATAAGCGACAACTCATTCATACTTGCCACATAGATGCCATGTCATATTTTAATTAAAAAATTAATTTCTCTTTCCTCTCTCCCCCACTCACCTCATGTCCACCACCGACCTCCTCTCCTTTCTTCTTCTCCTTCTTCTACTGGCGACCACAAATCTGGAAAATTCTTTCCTCTTTTAGAAGGTGAAACAAACAGCTCGGATGGAGAACATGTCTTCTTTATTCTTAGTTCTGCCACCGATTTCTTCTTTCGAGTTTGCGGCGTCGACGTCGAGGTCACCGGAGTCAGCAACGATTGGTGGATTAGGGATTTTGATTTCAAAATCCACTATCGTCGTCGAAATTGACTGTTAACTTGCAATTGAGGGATTCAAAACCCAGGAAACCAAAAAACCCAGGAAACCCAGTACTCTGCGAAGAAGATTGCTGCTCTCTCAATACCCAGCAGCGCGAGCGCCAGAGAGGAAGCGCATCTCAATACCCTGGCCGCCACGAAGTACGGATGCCGCCTGTACTTGCCGATGGGGAAGACGTCGATGAGGAGGCCCAGAAGCCCTGGATGAGGTCGTAGACAACGAAGATCCCGAGGATGAATGTTGGGTTGAGGTTGGAGGACAGTAGTTGTAGCCATTGAAGGGGCTCGAGCAGGATGGATTTGGAGTTTGAGAGATCACTGGAAACCATCTGGTGGGGCTGCAAATGGGAAGACGCCGGCGTTAATCCGGAGGAGCCAGAGTGCAGGCTCAGCACGGTGGCGTGGGTAGGCAGGGGAGAATATCTGGATGGTGGTGGGACGCGACGGAGGCAGGGTAAGAAAAGAACAGGGGGTTCAAGAGGAGGAGGGCTCGGAAGCGGCGGGATCATCGGAGGAGGTAGAGGAGGGGTCGGAAGCGGCAGGATCATCGGAGGTGGGTTTTCAACCGCCAATGCTCTGATGAGGTTCGGATCCGGGAAGGGGAGTTGAAACCGGCGATGACAACCGCCACCGTGGGGAAGAGCGGATCTGGAATTGAGAAGAGGGATGCCTTTTTTGTGGCGGAAGAGGAAAAAAGAGAAATTGGAGAGAGAATAATGAAAAATTAATTAATTATTATTTTATTTTCAGTTAATTCCATCTATATTATTATTGATAAAATATTGACAACTCAGCATTTTCCGTTAGTCCAGTCATAGCGTTAGATGACACCGTTAAAGAGATGGACGGAATAGGCTATTTTGTGTTTTCAAATAGTTATGGCTATATTTGTCACAAACGTGAAAGTTATGGCTATACAAGTGTATTTTGCCTATAACAATCACTCAAAATGAGTGATAGTTTCTGGATTGAGGATTTACACCATATTGACCATCAAGTCATCATGCCAAAACCAAATTGAGTTTTCTCCTCCCGCTTCTTTGTGTGTACATTTTCATATAGCACGGCGTTGTTCATGGATTCTAAGTCCATTTTCCCAGCCCTCCTAACTGTTTAGGAGTCTTACATTTGTCCCAACTCATTAGCTGTGTACGTTGTTGCTCTTGTCTTGTGTCCCTAACCATATATGAGGCTTCTTCCTTCATTTTCCATGTCTTCAATTCCTTTTTTTTTATATCCTCCTTTTGATCCATTGTCACTCTATTCACTTTCAGACCTTGGCTCTAGTGTGTATTGGGCTGAAATGTGTCTCCTTTTATTCTGCAGATATTGTCCAGAGGGACAAATGAATCGGTGGATTTATGAGTTGGATTAGTGGATTGAATTAACATAATCAAGTGACATCTATACCTTGTATCATTATAAAAGAATAGAAAGTTTTATACTGAAATGTCATTATAAAAAAATTAGATATCAAAATGTAATTAAAAAATATTTTTCATCAAAAAATTAAAATATAATTATCATTTCATAATATAAAATGCATGGATACTAAATCATAATTTTTCAACTAGTCCATGAATGTTTTCCCATGAATATATAGATACATAACATAACTGAGGAATTTTACAATACTATATAGTATTGATGTTATAGTTTTTTGTTTTTATGATACAACTTGAAATTGTACATTTAACGTTATGGTACAACTTCAGATTGTACCTATACTTTTTGTACAAATTATTTTATGGTACAACTTGAACTTGTACCTTTATATAATGGTACAACTTCAAGTTGTGAAGTTATACCATAACATAATGATACAAATCCCTTTATGATACAATCTAAACTTATACATTTAACGTTATGGTACAACTTTAAATTGTATATTAAAACATCAATATTTTATAGTGCAGCAAAAAGACTAAAAGTGCTCAACAGAACTTTGTTCACGGAGAAAATGAAAAGGAAAATAATAATGTTGAATTGAATTTGACCCCGTCGAGATCGCCGGTTATGATCGGCCATGCTCTTCTCATCACCTGACAGATCTCCACGTGGCATACCCACCACGCCTCCGAGCCCGAGGTCCATGCCGGTGAAGAGATGATGCCAGCCTAATATTTTTAAAATCCCCCCGCAATTCCCAATCCTCAAATGAAAGAAAAAAATAAAGCAAAAGCAACAAATTAATCATTACATAAAATTTAGCCAGTCATCATCTCCTTGTAAACATAAAACCTAAATTCAAAAAAATAAACATAAATAAATATACATAAACCTAACCAAAGAAACACCTAAAAATTGGAAAATAACAATCCAAATTCGAAATTAGAATAATACTAGAAAGGAAGAATGTCTCAGACTCTCAGTGTTAGCATTTGGATTAGTACGATATATGTTTGTGCTCAATCCTCTTTTTTTTTCTTTTTTTTTTGTCGAATAGTGTTCAATTCTCATAACAGATAATTCAAAAAACTTTGAATAGAAACTGATATAACTATAATTATGACTCTTTCATTCTAAAAAAATTATGATTATTCATGAGCCTAAAATCAACGATGTCAAATTGGTTTATACTTTTATGTCGGTTTAGCAAGTGAAATGATTCGACTGGTGGTATTATCAGTATGTGTCAGTTTAAGTTGGTTTAACAAAATATATATAAAAATGTGAAGAACTATTAACATCAAATGAATTAAATCATACAGAAGATGATTTACTTACGATCAATATTCATATTTAAATAATACACAATATTTTAAAATAAAATAACAAATACTTTCAATATTTAATGTCGATATTTAAACGTTTATACTTGAATCCATAAAATAACATCGAAATATAACTTCTAAATTCATAAAAATAAATAATAAATTAAATTTTATCAATTATAAAACGATATCATTTTGCTTAAACATCGTAATTCGATCATACCAATAGTGTTCATACTGATTTCATAACTGACTAGTTCAACCGACGAACACACCATCACAACCATTGTCGAAATACATCCATTGTCGAAATACATCGATCATTTTTTATCATACGCGGGAAAAAAAATGAAGGAAAGAAAGAGATAATATATGTATATGAATCTATGCACGTAAAAAGAGAAGAGAGGGAATTCAATTGAATAGAAATAGATCAGTTTAATTAATTCATCGGGGGAAAATAAAAATTAGACGAGTTTAGTTGGGAAACGTCAAACGAGAGAGTGGCTGGCCGAGGGAGGCAGAGCACCCGGCCGCGGCCCCCATATTATACAAACAAGATATATAAAAAATATATTATTTTTAAAACCCCTACCCTTCCCTTCCCTTCCAAATTACCCTTTCTCTTTAATTTTCCCACTTCTATCATCAATTCATCATCTTCATATATATATATTTATTCTCAGTCTTCTTCTTCTGGCTTGGCTCCGTAATACTAGCAAATCGCAGAGCTGTCCAGAAAGAGACTTTCTCCTCCCTCCCTCTCTCTTTATCCCTTCTCCCCTTCCTTCACTTTCCCCTCCCCACACCAGAAAGCAAGAGAGAAAGTAGCGACAGAGATGGGGAATTGCCAGGCGATCGATGCGGCAGCGCTGGTGATACAGCATCCCTGCGGCAAGATAGAGAGGATGTACTGGCCCGTCACCGCCAGTGAAATCATGAGGCTCAACCCAGGCCATTACGTCTCTCTCATAATCCCACTCCCCAGGCCTCCTACCGCTCCCGGCGACGACCACAAGGTGGTTTCTGCGGCCACGGCGGCGGTTCAGTTCACCAGAGTCAAGCTTCTCCGGCCAACTGATACTCTGGCTCTTGGCCATGCCTACCGCCTCGTCACCACTCAAGGTAAATTCACAATCACAAACCAAGCTTTCTACTTTCTTTTCTGGGTTTCCACGGTTCTCATCTTCCGGTTTCTGGGTTGGGTTGGTTTTATTTTCCCTTCCCCCAGAGGTAGTGAAGGTTCTTCGGGCCAAGAAGTCTGCCAAAATGAAGAAACAGGAGGCTGAGCCTTGTGAGAAACCAGAGGCTATTTTGTCAGATAAGCAGAGTTCAGATAGCAGGAAATCTAACTCGGACAAGGACTTCCACTTCCAGGTATCATCATACTCCTCCAGACTTGTTCGCCCTCTCACAGTGATGACGACAAGGATTTTGATTTCCCCTGTTTTATCAATCCCTGTAATCATTGTTTTCTTTTTCTCTTTTCCCCTCCAGTTCCAGTTCCAGGCAAGCAAACAAGGAAGTCATCGGCGAAGGGCAGCGCCAGTTAACCCATCTGCACTGAGATCCAAGTCATGGCGGCCAACATTACACAGCATCTCAGAGGCTGCAAGCTGAACTCATCTCCCCTCTTGTATCCAGAAATTCCCCCCCATGGCAGATGGCTCCATAATGATGGGAAGAGACTGGTAAAAAAAACTAGTCAATCCGGAATAGAGAAAAAGATGTTATAAAGGAATGTTTATAAGGAGAAAAGGGAATCTCTCCCCCCTTCCTCCCTAAACAATATAGATGGATTTCCTGTTACTTGACGGAAAGAGCTACCTTTCCCCCTCCTTTCTTCCTGTACAGCCAGCCACGAGAGAAAGCAAAAAGAAAAGAAGAAGAAAAAGTAGAGAAAAGAAAAAGGAATGGATTCTGACACAGTACTTACTTACCCGTGTTCTTTTGCAAAGTACATATATATTTTTACCCTGCCTGTTACGTGTGGAGTAGGAATGGTAGTACCATCGATGACACAGATTCACCCAAGAGAGGGAATCGAAAATAAAGAAGAGAAGACAGATGGAAGGTTAATCAATGTGCGCGTTAATGACGATGGGGAGGTGGGTTTGATGAGTTCCAAACTTGCCAATCCTGATCCACATGATTTTGAGCCCACAGAAGAGCAGCTCTTGCTGCCATGGCCGCTCCCGCTCCTGCCAATTTCTTGTCCTTGAGAGCTACTAACATATCTGTAAATGGCTCCACCAATAATGTCCCAGGCCCTCCATACTCCTTGTGCAAGAACTCACTGAATATCTGCTTCCATTACCACAAAAAGATAACCAATGATAACAGTAATAAGAGCTGGGCTCAACAGATGGAAAACTCATAATGGCTGGCCTCTGCATCTTACTCAAAAAGCTATAGCTAGCCTAACATGGAGTCGTGCAGATGGCATAAACATTGTTAAACAGATAGGACATTTGTTAAAAAAGAATAATAGTAATGCCAAGATTTGGGCCTAGCAAGCAAATAGCATGCACAAAAAGCTAGAAACAATTGATTGAAGTTGTCTTTGAAATGCCAGCTTTTTAATTTTGTTGTGAAGCCACACGTAGTTCCATCCCAGTAGTACTCGTCTTTGGGAGGGAGGGAAACGGGCCATGGCCATCAATTATTCAAAGCCAAGACAGCACTAGGTTCCAACCAAATCACAACCCTACTGCTCTAAAAGGAGATTTGACAAATTTTGCACACTCAGAAAGATAAAAGCAAGCAAAATAAATAAAAAGAGGCAGCTTATAGCAGAAATGGAAAATATGGCACGAAATGATTGGATACAACTTTCATAAGAATTGAAACTAAAGATTCCGTATTAAATGGTTATTGTTCTATGATTTCATTTCAAATTCTTGTTTACAAAATAATCACAACTATAAATTACCTAAACTATAACACTAAAATAAAAACAAATATTGGTGATCATCTTGTCGTTTTCAGCAGGCCATGCAAATCTCTAGACTCTAATGGTTCATATAAATTCATCTCAACAAGTAAATTGCTGGCCGGCGGCATCCTTACTAAGAATGCCTCCGATCTCCACGTCGACTCATTCTTCTCTGAAATCCCCCGTCAGCAATATATGTATTTTTTTATATACGAAAAGAATTAGCAACAAAGTATGCCATGGCTGTTCCATTTGTCTCATCAGTGGGATGCAGATAACAATTTCTAGCTTTTCACGATGAGATAATGACCATCTCCCCGGCCGGTATAAAAACAATTAAGCAGATATGCATATGATCAACTAACTTCATCTGCGACAAGCATATGCAACCAAAAAACTTGCCCACGGGCGGCACACAGAAGAAGGGCTTGACGCCAACAACAAGCTTCCAGGTGGAAGACTACAAAACTGTAGCAAAAATTGGCTAGCTAAGCAGGATTCTGTCTTTCAAAATCACCCGATTAGGCTCAAAAAAGATGAGACAAAAAGTTGTGTTTATCAAAGTTCCTCCTCATCAAATTAAACATTGATAATGTGAAAAGTAGTGAAATCTCCCCGCCGACTAATCAAAATGCTCAAACCGGAAGCAAGAAGGAAGCATAGATGGCGGATTTCAAATGGGGAGAAGTGCAAGTTTTCAGAGACATTTCATTTCAAAGTCACCATTTATTGTACGTACGTTCCAGGACCACCACAGTGAGACACGGATCACATGGAAAGCCAACATCAAGAAAAGCCAGGAAGAAGAATAAAATTATTGAGGAAACTGACGGGACAACTAGAAGTTTGTCTCAGGCCCTCTAGTTTATTCTTATTATAGGTTCGTCACTTTGAGATAGGGGACTGATTCCACCCAATTTTGCTTTCATGCTCACAATCTATGAGAATGTGCTCACAAAGGCACCCAACCGTGCATCTTTGTAAGCACGTTCTCACAGGTGTTATGTGAGCATCATAGTTGGGTTGCCACTTGCCACCCATCTTACCGAAGTTTGTACCAAATAAGTCAGCAAAATGATGTTTAGTGCAAAATTGGGATTTAACGTTAGTACATGATATGTTGTTCAAATACTACTAAAATAGGATGATAAATTCAACCGGTATGTATAATGATACAATGTCGATCAAAACTTGTGGACAAACTGCTAGTAAGCAGTTTGATTGCGTTCTACTAACAAACATAGATATTTACTATTACATAAATGAGTGTACCATTATATAGGTCTAACTCGGTCAGCCAACACAGTAAGTATCACAAGCCATGCTGATCCAACGTCACAACAGTGACATTCTGCTAACAACTGTATACGGGGCTAGGCCTAGGGGTTTCTCAACTGCACTAAACTACAACAGCTTGCATTTATGTCACAGGTTAACCAGAAGATTCGTATAAGATACACACATGACACATACACAGTCTAAAAAGTCGAAAAACTTGCCCACGATTCTGCCCAAGAGGGCAGTAGACCAATAAATGCTAATCTGGGCAATTTTTTACTTTTTGATCGATGGAGCTATGAAGGGTGTGGCAATATAAACAGAGAGGAGGAGTGTTGACCCGAAATGACGGTCCCAGCTACTAATTACAGGATGAACAGTTCCATCAAATCCCACAAAAGTTTCAAGCAAGTCTAGCCTAGACCTATACTAAATGGGAGAGTGTATTTCTTAGATCTATTTTCTACACACACTGAAATCTCACATCAAGCGCTTAAACCATCAATATCAGAGCCGGCTTGAGCTAATAAGTTCAGGATAGGCCTAGTGGTTTGACAGGTCCAGCAATACCACAAAAGTTCAAACAAACCCATCTTATCTAATAAATGAATTTGGAATCAATCAAACACTCAACTTTGCCAGGCTTAACATCAAAGTCTACGATACTTCTATCTAGTTCATACGTCAACGCCAAGTATGTGATATGGTAGAAAAGATGCATAAGAACTTCCGCTGGCGCATTTCCTCGATCAGGTTGTGGGCAAGAATCTGTGGACGGGCTCAATCCTACTTATCCATACAAAAAACACACCACAAAAAGCCACTCCTTAAAACAATACCTAACTGGAAACCATCTACATTAACGATCGAAGCAAACAAACCAAAAGGGACGAATTCAAGTAGAAGTAGACAAAGAAAAGCAACAAGCTTTCGATTACCTCGGCGCAAACATCCACGACTTGTTCAACCTCGTCACCGAATGTTTGCTTCTCCTTCACCAGCTTCTTCATCAGCTCGCTCCGGAACTTCTGGGTCTCCTAAAAATCGCAAGGCGACGTCAATACCAAATAGCGGAAACTCCAAAAATTGACAATTTCAGAAACCTAATAAAGCACAGAAAAAGCTGCTTACTTACTCTTTTGGCGAAATCGGGATCTGGGTCAGGGTAAACGTACTTCTGGAGCGGAGTGGTGGCTCCGACGAGGTTTCTGGAGCAAGGTACTATTGAAGAAGGACGGGCGCCAAAGGTGGATTGAGAAAGGAAGCGCCATATTTGGATAGGAGGGCTGCGGGAGGGTGGAGATTTGGCGGGAGAGAAGGCTAGTGGAGGAGGATGAGGGAGCAGAGAACCGGTGTACGGAACCGCCATTTTCCGTAGCGAGCTGAGAATGGACCCGTCCAATCCATTGATTTTAATCCCCGAGTTTTCAGGGCCTCATAGAAATCAAGGCCCAACAATTTTAAACCCAAGTAAACACTCACTGTTCGACAACGGGCTGGACTAGGGGTGGGCAACAATTTCATCCGTTTGAAATCGGTATCTAATCCCATTTATAGAGGAAACTTCATCCCATGTCCCGAACCCGTATGGGTTAACGGGTACTCGTTACCTGTATGGGACGGATAGCGGGTAACCATACTACCCGTATATACACCCGTTCAACTGATGACTAAACCTAAAGCCCAAAGAAATTTAACACACAATTAAACAATTGAAGAGAGTTAAAGAGAAATTTACTATCAAATAATGAGAAAACTACTGTTTAAACAACACCAAATTAACATAAAAAGAAGTATCCTGTATATATATTTGAATCTCTCTCCTTTCCTTTTTCTCCCCATGAAACATTCTATTATAAGTTGACCACAACTAACCTCATCTTTCAATACATGTTGCACTATATAATTTAATTACATGCATTACAGTACCAAAACTCATTCTTTCATGCATCCCTACCAGGCTACCACCAATATCACGGCTCAAATCTATCAATATATATCACCATCACCCTAACTGCATGCATTCTCTCCAAAGCAATGGTAGTGAAAATAACGGAGGAGCCGCCGTCACCACCAGTAGAATCAGCCACCACCTCCAATTAAACAAATGTCAATAACAAGTTACTTATACAAACGAGATTAAAGGGTACCCGTACTACCAAACTGAGTATTAACGGGTAACTCGTGGGTACCCAATGTAGAATTCATAAATCTAAAGACCCATCCCGTATAAAAAATTACGGGTATTTGGGTACCTGTAATCCTAAAAAAATGGGACGGGTACTCATACCCATTTCCCGTTGCCCACCCCTAGGCTGGACCCCTCATTGGCCTGTTTTTTTTAACTGACCAGTGTTTCCTAAAAATAAAAAAAGTTCCCCCAAATTGATGTTAATTTGAACCCGCTCAGTTGGGTATTACCTGACCTGATCTGTGATGGGCGGGTGTTACCCGACCCGCAGTAGCATTGGGTAGGTATGAGTATCTACTTCTGACTGCCCTGACCCACTCCGTCTCGTGCTTGACTCATTTTATCTCAATTTCTTACCGTATCTATTCATATTTTTCTCTTACTTTGATTTTTGTTCAACTAGTTAGGTTTGACCTTTTAACTAGTTAGAGTCAATTAGCCATTCTATTATCTCTATTTTTCATTTTATAAAGTGTTTTCCCTTTGTTTTATCGTAAAAAGTAAAATTTTACATGTATTTATATCAATAATATGTCAGAGTGGGTCAACCCGCCCAACCTCATACCCGCCCCGACCCATAGTAGCGAGGGGCGGGACATTGGTATTGAAGTACTCACTCTGCACGCTCCATTGCCATCAGAGTAACCCAACTTACTAGAAACGTACTCAATTACAACATAATAAAACATTAAAAAATTCCAAATTACCAAATTTTGGGCAGAATTGTTGGGACCTCAACCGAGAGGACAATAGGAGGACTGGAGAAAATGTAGTATTGCCGAGTAGGAGGAGGCCGTGGCAAGGGGACACGACCTACGTCGATGATGAGGGGGCGCGGGAAGAAAATGTGGCGGATAAAACACACTCTAAAATGAAGAGCTTCAAATCCAGAGGGGGAGAAGACAACTGAGAGAGCGGAAAGAGTGTGTCGTGTGTGTATGTGTATGTCACACATGTAAGGATTTAGGGTTTAATGGATCGCTAGGCTGTTAAGCAAGAGGTTCTGATACTATGTAAAGATTATCAATCGTGTGCAGGGGCAGATCTACTTGTTGGCAAGTAGGATAAGTAGATAATTTACATAAGGAATACGGAATACAAATCCTACTACTACAAGGACAAAGACTTGTCCCTATAAGTAATAACACATGGAGGCAAGATGTGTTATCGATTGATTAGGTTGATAAGAGACCGATTATCTTTCAACATATGAAATGGATATATGGAAATATGGAATTGATCTTAGAATGAAAGGGTTTGGATCATGGTAAAGGAAACCGGATCGTACCGGCCGGTTCAACCGGTTCAACCGGGAATCGGGCCAATGACGAAACGGCACCCCTACCAGCCCTTTTCTACCGTGTCGGCCGATATAATCGGCGTAACCGGCATATTCCGGTATGCCGCCCGGTTTAAATCAGACCGGCGGTAAGGAGGCGGCCAGAAAGAGGGGAGCCATGGAGACTGTTAAATCTATTTATCGGGTTTCGTATTTTCCCCTTCTTCATCGTCGATCAAATTAGAAGACCCACCTCAGGAACGAAAGAAGAAATTGAATGGTAAGCGTTTCATGGACCTTCTTCCCAAATAGTCAAATTTGATGGGATGGTTCGATCTACCCCTAACTGCATTCTGCTTCTTTTGGATTTCTTTACACAAAGGACATGCAGGAACAGAGAGGACAGAGATGGCGTAGGGATGGCAATTTCGACCTGACCCGTTTTACCCGACCTGTTTGACCTGTTTTGGGGCGGGTCCGACCCGCCCCGTAGGCGGGGCGGGGCGGGCATGGGTAGTCTCATCGACCCGACCTGCCCTGACCCGCCCCATTCTCGACCCGTTCTTGTCTAAATTACATGAAATCTTAGTCAAATTACTTTGAATTTTACTTTTATCGCATCATATTTTAGCTATAATAAAGTTGTAAATTAGTGAAAACCTCAATTTCTCCAATAATTTAACTACAATTGTCATAATATTGTTTATTTTCTTAGTTTTATAATAAAAATAACAATATTTCTAATGTTTTTCAAATAAATTGCATACCCATTGGGTCGACCTGCCCCGACCCGCGACCCGTGATCAATTACCCGACCTGGACCCGCCCTGCCACGGGGCGGGTCTGGGTACCAAGAAACCCGCCCCGGACCTGCCCCATTGCCATTCCTAGATGGCGGAATCCTTGAATCCAATTCTCCTGCTGCAAGTTCTGGTGCCATGGCAGCCTCATTGAGGATTTTCTTCCACTCTGTAAAAAACGAAAAGGTAAGATTCATACCAAAACCTACTATTTCAACCTAGGGATGGGAGACCTCCCATTTTAGATTCATCTTCACTCGAGCCAAATTGAAGTAGTAGAAAACATGGAGATGAATGGATAGATAATAGAATGAGAGAGGGATAGATAAGAGATAGAGAGATGGAGAGGCAGCGGTGGGATACAAGCTAGCTGTCAATTGAGGGATTTTCACTTTCCCCCTATTTAATTGACACAGAATGAATTTCATCGCATAGAATCGATTGTATATGGGCTTGACAAAAAATATATTTTATTATTACAAAATCGGTATTTACCGGTACGAAACGGTTGAACCACGGTCGTACCACAAAATACCCTACCAGAAAGGAATCCGGTATGATGTCCGGTACGGTTTCCTTTACCATGGTTTGGATTAGGTAAGGTAGCTTTTTTATTTTTGTGGGCTGTAAGTTGCCAAGGCCTAAGGGTCTCTGGGCCTAGTTCATGATCTGGCCCATTGGCAAAAGAGCGAAAAAATTGAATGGCTTCGCCCGGGTTCGAACCGGAGACCTTCAGTGTGTTAGACTGACGTGATAACCAACTACACCACGAAACCAATTGTTTAAATTCTACTGCCTGCTATTAATAATCTGAAATTGAACACGGTGCTGCATTTTGTTATCTCCAGGACACAGTCCAGAAATCGGATTAGCTGCTCAAAGTGAGGCTGATGGCGGCAACAACGCCTTCTTCACTCTCCGTCGCCATGATTCCCACAGCGAGCGCCGCCTCTCCGTCGAATTCTCTGTCTTGTTCCCTTCTGTTCCGCTCAGAAACCCTTAACAAAACCCAGCAGAAGCTCCCGCCGTCGCACCTCGCACTCCTCAAATCCCGCTCCTTCATACTTCCCTCACGGCAATCCCAACAAACATGTCTCAGCGTTCATCTCCTCCCAAAGAAGAAACTGAGCCCTTTTCCTCTCCGCGCTGTGAGGAAGGGAAAGAGCGGCGGTGGTAATTTAGCGGTTGCGGAAAGCGATGACTTCGCGGAAGAAGATGAAGACGAATTTGATTTTCTGGATGACGACGGCGATTATGCCGACGATGCCGACGACGACGTCGAGGACGGGGAGATGTTGCTTCCGCTTGAGAAGATGCAGAAATGGCTCGAGAGGAAGCCCCGTGGGTTTGGTGAAGGGAAAGTCTACGACACATCTGTTGAAGATAAGCTGATGGAAGAAATTGTTCAGAGCCAAATGGCTCAAGCTGCCAATGTCAATAACCTGAAGAATAACCCTATCAAGCCCAGTCCCAAGGTAGAGGACTCGAAGAAGAAAGGTCAGTGCTGTCTGTAAAGTTCGGGTTTTTCAATTTGGTAATGCTAATTTAGCGTGGAATCTTAATACCCTTCTGTGATGCTGCAGCTGCTGAAGCTTTACCAAGTGGAGTTCGGGTTCTTTTGACCAACCTCCCAAAGAAGAAGAACGTTCAAAGAGATTTGAGGTCAGCTTTCAAGGAATTCCGCGGAATCGTTGAAATCGTTCCTGCTGTTTCTGGTAACAAGAAGACCAAGGACCCTGTTTGCAAAGGGTTTGCATATGTTGATTTTAAGTCCGAGGTGGATGCAACCAGGTACTGAATGTTTACTTCAATGGGCTTTGCAATGCTGCTGAACAAACTACCCAAATTCCAGATTGGAGTAGAATCATAGAAAAGTGTTCCAAGGATTACGAGTTCGTTGTTTCTAGTTTGATCTTTGTGAATGTTTGTTGGCAGGTTTGTGGAACAGTTTTCTGGAGAGAGCATAGCGTTTGGTAAGATTCAGAAACAGATAAAATGCAGGATTCAAAACCCTGGCTCAAGCACAGCATCTGGTGATGAATTGACCGACATGGATGTGGATGGTGCGGCCTACGAAGATGAAAAGTTTGATGAAGAAGAAGATGATGATCATAACAATGAGATCTCGGAAACACGAAAGGCAAGTGCAATAGAGAGCATGAAATCTCTCAGCGTATCAGAGTTGAATGTTACTGAAAGCAAGAAAACTGAAAGTCGGTCATCATCTTCGCCAAAGAAGAAGGGAACTAAGAAGAGTAGCGCAAGTTTTAAAAAGAAAGTGCAGAAGGTTCCCAAGTTAGAGATTCCAGGATCGGCCAAAAGGTTTATTGTGCTGTGCTTTCTGAACACTATACCTGCTGCTGGACGTTTGCTTCTGGTTACTTACTCACCAATTTTTAACTCAATTTTGCCATTTTCCTCTCTGCAGGCTAAAGGTCAGGGACAAGGCTGTGCTGACTGGTGTCTTCGCCAAATACGGGTTACAAGCTGCTGTTGCTACAAAGGAAGAAAGCTAACTGTTACACTGAGTTTTTTGGCTCCTGAACTTTAGGGAACAAACCTCATTGAAGTAAAACCACAGTGGTCTTTGTGCTAGATAGATCTTTTAAATTTGTCTCGAGTGCAGTTTGTCATAGTTGGGATTTTTGTTCCGTTTTGAAGACGTGGTGAGTAGTGAGTACCACCATTATGACTAGTTTCAACACCAATTACATCTTGAGAAATCCAGTCGGCTGTCGTCTTGGCATTAGGGGAGTTGATGCGGCGAGCAACTAAGGGCAAAGAGTGGCCTAGACTAATGCTTTACTGTCTGGTTCTATGTGGGGATGTTTGTAACACAGGGTTCACTCCAATTTGGATAGTATGTGTTCTCGAGTTTCTCTCCTAATCCGTTTGTCCCTCCCTCCCCGCCGTGTACAAGAGGCGCTGAAGTTGACGGCGATCGGCAAACACCAATGAACAACCAGAATGCTCCTTGCTAGAGGAAAATATTATAGAAAAGAAAATATACAACTAACCAATACCAACAGAGTCGAGAACTGGGAAGAAGTTTTCAGTAGCCGATGATGCTGGGCAGAATGTTGTTTACGCGGCTCCGCTGCGTTCCATCACCTGTACGTCTTTCCAATTGAAGAACGAGAGTCTGAACTGTTAAACCCTGTTGCTGCAGCTGCCCTGAAAGTGTTATCCCACCTCCCACCCCCGATACTCGGCTTTGAGCTCGCTCTTGATCGTCCCAGTTCCCATCAGAGATGCTGTGTATGATCACGTGGCCGAGAGGCGCTCAACTGGTTTAGAAAGGCAGATGATTGCTTGGTGTTGAATGACAAAGAGCTGCTTGATCGGTTCATTGACAGGGATGACATGATGGGCAAGTACGAAGTTTCTTCCAGATCACTTTTATATATATAAACCTATAGTTCCCTAAGCTCCCAACTACTCTATACAAGCAAGATTCTATACTAGAAGAAATTTTGCTAGTAGCACCAGGGTTGTGATTGTGAAAAGCCCTTCAACAAAGGAGTGGTCTCTCTAACCATTTTGTACAACTCCCCTATCCAACCCTAGCCCAAGACCTTGCGAACATTACAGTTGGCATTAGAACAGTGTTTGAACGTCACGGTTTACATATTATACGTAGTGGTTGATTTAAGCACATTTTCAGGAGTTGAACTAAAAATGATGGAAGTATGCTGGCTATAAGTAGCCTATTCTCTTGCATCAAATGAGGGAATCCAAGTGCTACCAAGGAAAACACTGAAAAGCTTTCTAGTTCGATCAAATAAAGATACGGCTACATCTCCCCCATTAGGGTTCCCCCGTTCCCCTCTCATGGAAACAAGATACCATTTCTGGGGCTCCCCAGTAAATCACAAAACTTCACTTCTGCACGCTAAGTAATGAAAATTGATTTCTCCGTCAACAAACTGAAGCTGTTGTCACTTGCTGCTAACTGCTACACCAGTCCATTCCTTCCAATCCTTGTCGACGTGATCTTGGGCCCATTTCACAGCAACTCGTGCTGCCTGAGGTCCTCCCGGCAATCCACGCTCATTGATGGTATCGGCCATGTCGATGAAGGGTTCCACAAGAAGTGTGCCTGGACCTCCATATTCACTGTGTAGGAAGGTACTCAATATCTGCAAACATCATTTAATGACTTGGATACATCACACAACAGCACTCTTAACATATTTAAGTTAAGAATATTGAACAGCTCTGTTGACAGGAGTGAACAATCTCAACATCGGGCTTGCAGTCTACAACTTCAACGGAATCTATCACCTCCCTATGTATTCCATACAGTATAAGCTATCTCACAACTAAAGCGGTTATGCTGCCAATCAATACCAGTTTCGGTGGCCACAGGAATGATCTACGTTCAGATATCAGACTAATATCACAACCTGGTAACCTCTGATATCCCCACAAATCTAAGCTACCATAACATTCGTCATTCATTAAGACACAAGCTCCATATGATAACTTCAATTTTAGCGCTTGTTCAGACCTAACATGGATCAAAGTGAGGCAAAAAGAACAGTAATACGAGTCTAAACTCTAGTGTAGACTGTAGAGATGTAAAAGTGAAAAAGTACCAAGGAAACACTCACCTCAGTGCAGATTGTCACAACGTCATCAAGTGAGTCTCCGAACGCCTCTTTCTTAGAGAGCTTCGTAGCGAGATGGGTTCTGAATTTTTCAGTCTCCTGCACCACAGCAACAAAGACAAACTCAGTAAGTCGATCTTAGGCTAGATAGGAGCGATTGTGAGAGATTGACATGAAAAATGAGATTGACTGTGAAAGAAGAAGAACTCACAGCATCTGCAAATTCGGGAATTGGGTCAGGAAATTTGTACTCCCCTGCTCTGCAAACATGTTTTCTTCGACCTCCTCTTTCGATTGAGAGGTAGGAACAAAGGTGGTGCGCCGGTCTGAACCCAGCGACATGGGCAGTCGGTGTCGAGAAACGGGAACCCAGTGGAAGAAATGATGAAATGGGATAAGGAGAAGATGCTGAGGAGAACCGGATATAAGCGGGTGAGAGGGAAGGAAGATGGTCGAGGATTGAAGAAGAGAGCAGAGTTTCACGGCACGAAGCCATGGCCGCCTGTGTCGAAGTTCGCTTATCTTTCCCTCTCGGAGCTGTACGAGTTTCGGAGTGTTCTTTACTCCTTCTTCGGTCTTCCCACCTTTTTCGCCTGAATTGGATAGTAGTAGTATCCGTGCAGTTATTTTGTAATGGGCCAGGCCTAGTAATACTTTAGCGGACCCGTGAACGGTCGAGGGAGAACGTATGATGTCCAACCTCGTCACGGTGGCAATGGGTCGGATATTTTAAAACCCAATTCAACTTAATGGGTGCACGAGAAGCACTAATCAAAAGTCATCAATCAAAAGTCAAAATCAAATCAAATCAAAAGTCAAATCAAATCAAAATCAAATCAAAATCAAAAGTTCAAAAGTCTTATTAATGGTGGAGTTTTGTAGACTTTCCACCATTCAAAAAATGCTGGCCTCCCCTTAATTTCCGCTAGGGGCATTATAGTCCATTAATTACTTTAGTTTTATCTCTTCCCGCCCAAATACTTTACTGCACTTGCGCATGGGCTCCTCAATTAATATTATTCCATTAAGCCCATACATAAAGCCCATCAGTTTAATTATTTGGACGGTAGTTATACATTTTGAAGCCTTTAGACCTGCTGATTAAAACAAAAAAACTTCTAGACCTGAGTTTGGAGTTTTTAATGTAATTGTTTGGGCCAATGTCCAAAATAAAAATTAGATTCCACTATCACATACACCCATCACAAAATATGAATTTTGTTGGACTCTTGGTAAGACATCACTATGTATTCTATTAACCCCACATTACACTCAATTAATGGTATGAAATCATATATAATTCATGTCTTATACATTGCCAGGTCTACATATATTCAGTGTTAGGGAACCATCATATGTTTTTTCAATTGCGGTTGGCCTTGGTCAAACTGAGGGTTGACATGATTTGACCAGTGTTGAACCTAAAAATGGTTTTGGTTTACTCCTGGTCAACGAGGTTAATTTTTGTTTGACCGCATGTCAAAATGAAATAAATTTTCGGTTTGGATCGTAACCGGATCAAAAAAATTTATCGCAGTTTGGTCTATGTGTTTTAAATTATTTCCAATAGTTTAAATATTCTTTATTATTATTGAATTTATTTTAGTATTGTAAAACCGCATCAGAGCTTCTATAAAATAAGTGTCCGAATATGAAAAGAACACTCTACAACACAAGTTGAGAATGTATTTTAATAGGTTCTAGCTAAGGTTTTCTTGATATTTTAAATAAGGATCTCAAAATTAATTATATTTCTTTGATTTGTTGTAACTCATAGTTCCTTTTATGAGCATGGACTTTGCTACCTATCCACTTCCCTAAACATGATATTTTAGGACAAAGTTGGTTTTCACTTCGATTTTTTGTTACAAATTTGATTTTTCTTATTTAACGAAAAAAATCAGTTTTGTTGTAATCTTTTCAAGCTTTTCGCACTAGCCAACCAAATAGCCAGAAAAGAGTCTCACAACACGATGTATTCATATTCCATTAATTAGGTAGTGATATTGTTTAATTGTCGTAGTTTTGGACTTTGATTGACAAAAGCTGCACCAAATCTCACTTATACCATATATACACTAATCTAAACTCATATTGCATTTCTCATAACCACATTTACTCCACTTGGTTGAAAAAAAATTATAATAGGTTAAGGATTGAATTCATAAATGTGAAGTGATAGAAAATCTTGATCAAGTATGTAAATCAGTACAAAAAGATTTCAACAAATGATTAAATAGAATGATTGTGAAACATTCATAATTTATAGCAATATTTGGAGATTTTCACTATATTTAACCATTAAAAATTTCACAAAAAATAAGAATTGAGATATTTTCCCCAAATAAATGTGAATATTCCGGCCAACTGGCCGGGTCCAAGCTAGTTAGGATAGTTATGATTTAATTACCAAACAGCGGCGGATCAACCGTACATAAGAGCACTGGGCCGCATTTCATTAAAAAATTAAAACCGCAAATAAATATAATGATTTTTTTTGCAATATAAATTGTACACTATCGTATTTTAATTTAGCGAATGTAACAATAATGAAGTCAACATCCATACCAATAGTATAAACTGTTTCAAATAAAATACTTGAGCAATCGGCGAGAAATTCATCGCTCATTTTATTGCGCAAATAAGATTTTACACATGTTTCATTTTTGAAAAAGTTCTCCCGGTAGTAGCTGTTGAAACGAGCACCGTCCGTCAACACTAGACAAATCAATCGTGCATTGTGTGTCCATCCATAGATTCACCAACTACTCTAGTAAATTTTGAAGGGGAAAAACCTCATATTTCTTCTAGTCTTTTATGTTTTAGACTTTTAGAATTTTAGATTTCATTATTTTTTTAGACGAAAAATCTTTGGAGCTAGAATTTCTAGTCTAAATAGAATAATGATCGGAAAATGTTAATTTGAATTATTTTCCTAGTTATACCCAATCTTATTATAAAATAACACTGAACCGAATGTCTAATATCGAAAAATTCGTAAGGACTACACTAATGCCAGATCCAGAGGAGGGCTGAGCCGGGGCCCAGGGGTGGGCACCCCCTGGATCCGCCACTGTTACCAAATCATGAAATACAATACTTTAGAAAGATCGTTCCAATTAATACAATAATCAAATTAATTAAATTAAAATTTAATTGATTTGGTTAATTGGTTAATCATGTTAAGCAACATAAAATAATAGTATCATTTTGTGAGAAGGAAATCTCCTGTTAATGCACCAATCCATAATACAAATATTAAATAAAACATAACAATCAACTCATGGTTAACTATTAACATAAATACATGCAACCAGTATAATCATCATAGAACAATTAGAAGTAACCACCTAACAAAAATATTACCAACGGTATGTGGTAATGAATTGAGCGTGTTTGTATGAATCGTCTTAATCTCTTAGTAGTTATCAGAGGCTAAAGTCTCTTCCCTTTCAGGTTTTTCATCCAACATAATATCGAATAGTTAACACTCAAGTTGTAGTCTGTAACATTAGAATTCAAATCTAGACTGTCAAACCATATACCTTTCAAGTTGTTATCTGAATCACATACGACACTACCGGAGGGGTTCGACGGAGGAAGCGCTGGAGGGTTGAGTTAAAAAATAGAAGTGTATATTGATGTTTTGGGATGAGAACTATCGTTTTCATTTGAATCGATCAAAATGAAGGGTTGAAAGGTAAGTGATTTTCTCACTGGATTGGATCGCACACGGTTCGACCATTTATAATGTGAGCTAATATAAAAAAAAAAAAAAATAGAAAGCACATCTTATGCATTTGTAAGTTGTAAGAGAACAAGACGTGAAATTTGTGGAGGAGCAGGTTTGATAACTTGGCAAAGCAGCAAGACATAAAAAATCTTTAGCCCTAATCAAAACTCCTAAAGGTGCTAATAGTATATACCATGGACCGCAGGAGCCAGAAGATTATCTAATAACTTATCAAACATAACTTATCAAACCGTTCATAAAAAAAACTCAACTTATCAAACCAAAATTTCCACCTTTCTACACAAAAGCCCAGTTTGCGATGCGTATTCATGACTCTCCAGCTGAATATATACAATAGGTAGGCAAAAATGTTGTACTGGAGAAGTATGATGTAGAAGCAATTCCCAAGGTGCAAGCGTTGAAGCTTTCAGAACCCATCTTCTCCACCTGCTAAAGCTTCATTTTCTCCATAGCGCAACTAAAGGGCAAGGGCGGTTAGGCTGCTAGTGGCACCAATTCCGGCTCATGGTCTTGGATGCTTGTGCATATAAAAACGATGTGAAAGCAAAACATATATACATACACATCTCACAAGTTCCTTTCATGGGGTTCAAGCCATGGGAAACCCAAGAAATCAAACACTTCCTTCTCCGTCTGAAGTTTCAAGCTTGCTGTTGCCCTCGTACCCTGCAACAGAATTGTCATTTGTTGAATGATGGTAAGAGTAGCCTGCCTAAGGCTTTTGGTGAAGATTCTGAAAAATGTGAGATCAGATTTACCCGTTTTCCACCTGAGGACTGAGTAGCTGGGAATAGACCAGTGTCATCAAGCCGGAAACCTTTGGACTCAGCTAGGAGCCTCAACCTGTGGACCAGTAGCAATGAGAAAGAGAGGCTCAATGGAGATGAGGAGAATGGAGAAGTAATAAGGAAAGGGAAAAACCTTCCATGAATTGATAAAGTGCCAACTTACCTTCTGTTCAGTACATCATTCCCAGTCCAAGCTATGAGACCAAAAGCATATATATCTCTTGGATATACCTACAGAATGAGATCGATTGAACTAATGAATTGAACATAACGGTCGAAAAGATGATATATTAGCATCCACTTCACCTTCAAATCTATCCGGTGTCGCAGTTCTTGTCCTGGATACGTACAAAGACCAAAATATGTGTCAACACCAGAATCAGTACCCTGCACACATAAAAAGGTTCTGCAAACTATGAAGAACATTGTAACCTATATCAGAACTGCAAGCATGTGATACTCATTAACTAATACGAAAAACAGCTGGTACTTTGGAAAGTTCATATATATGATTATATGTTCTTATGACAATTCCCCGAAAAGTGAAAACAGTCGAGGAAGAATAAAATTACCACATACCTGTTCACTGTGAGTGGTGAAAACTAAATCTTCTCTCAAGAACTTCATATCCTTCAAGCGTTTCACAAACTGTGACAAAAATCCTTTATGGCTGTCCGAAAGTGAGATGAAACAAAGAGTAACAATGCTGCTGAGAGAAAAATATCCTTTGAGAACTTGGAAAAAGAAGAAACAGAACTATACCTTTTCCCATCTGGGTGAGTAACTACAATATCCATGTCCCCACAAGATGCTTTCCCACGTCTATAAGATCCTCCACATAGAATAAGTACCTTAAAAACAAGTCAAAGCACTGATCATATAATGAAGCCTTGGATCTTGGGCTATGCCTGCTGACGAAAGTAAATACATCTGGCTGGGTTTGAACTGATAAACAGAACATAAGAACATCTCTAAATGCAAGACTGAAGGTGAAATATGAAATGCGAAAAATCAAACAGACCTACAAAATATGCAGATGTCCTTCCATTGAATAGCAACGGAACCTTGCTTTCTTGGGCCTTGCTTATGGCGCCCAACAGCATCTAGACTCATCTCTTCTTTTTATTTTATTTTACTTTTTTTTTTTTTGGTAAGGATATTTTATTTTACAAATATAGGAATCTAGACTCATCTTTAACGTCAAAAGATAGCTGCAATATGACTCACCCCTGGCAAAATCTCTTCTCCAGTTTTCTGCAGTAGCCCTTCCATTTCTTGAACCTGGTGGTCAGTTCAAGTGAAAGATGTCAGAAGAAGCAAAGGCCAAAATCATCCACACACATATCTCCTGATGTAAAAAAAAGAAAAGAACTAGCTCAATCGCGCTACCTCATTGCGTGGAATTCTTGTCCTGATGTCCTCAAAGTACTTCAACCCGATCTTCTGTGAATTAGTTAATGAATCCTCGTTCTTTAGATCATCTAATGTGCGATATCCTTTCTCGTACAACTTCAGGGCAGTAGCTGGACCAACACCCCAAATTTCTCCAAATAAAGTAATGGCACGCACCTGGAATTACTTCCACGGAAAACTTCACTAGTTAAAAGTTTGTATCAAGCCTTCTCTAGTTAATGAAAGATAACAATCAGCGATCAATCCTGAACATCTCTGCGAAGCATTTCATTACCTTCTCATCTGTTTCAAAGTGCTCCAACTTGGACAATTTTCCAGTAGTTACTATTTCCTGAATCTGCAACATACCAGCATGCATAAATCATTCTGGACATTGCTTCTGCATCACTCATATACCATCTATAAGTAGCATGGCTTCTTCTACACTTACATGGTCCTGCAATGACTTTCCAATCCCAGGTAGACCTTTCACCTGTTCTGCACTCTCAATTTTGAACGGCAACTTCTCAATAACAGGAATTGCCTTGTAATAGCTAAAAGACCTTCGATCATCACCCAACGCTTTCCACAGAAAGTGAACATGTTATCATTCATGACAGAAATAAGTACAAAGAGGGACGAAATGAGCATTCTAGCAAGATTGTGCAGGTCTTACCCCGGTAGACGTTGATAAGTTTTCCAAATATCTCAGTGATGTTTCTGTTTAAATCAGGTGGATTATACTCCAACGACAACTGCAAAACAGACAACCTATCAACTAGGTCATCCTCCACTACCTCCTCCATTACATAATAGTGAAGCTGCACAAATTCCAACTAAGTTTATCCTATATCAGTTATTAGACACTACTGCAACTTACATCCGTATTCGGACTACTAAAAGGTTTCGGGCTAGTCCTTCCGGGGCTAAGAGAATAGTCTAAGCTGTCAGAGTTTCTGGGACTATCAGCTGAATCACCCTTGCTATCTGCTTTGAAACCTTCCACATCCTCGGGAATATGTCTCACCTTCTTCAGAGGAGAAGGTTCTTCACTATCCTTAGCACTTTGGGACTTATTTCTATCATCCCCTCCTGAATTGATGTCTATGCGATATGAATCCTCTGAAACTTTTTCCCCTAATCGCAGGCTCTCCTCCACCCACTGATAAAGGAGAACTCTCTGGGAAGAAAAGCAGTTAAAAAAAAAAAAAACGAAGCATCAGGATTGCATTGCAGGCGTTGATTTACGGAAAGAGAAGCAACAAGCCAAGCCTAAAACTCACTCCTTTGAAGCTTTCAAGGCGTTGTCTGTCCAATTGCTTGAGAAGAGCTTCTGGGTTCATAGCAAAAATGTAATTGACCTTCTTGGACAAGTAGTCCTCGACCGTAGCCCCCAACTGCACCAGCTTCTGCTTCCAAATCTTTCGAACCCCAATAATGAAATACGAAGAAAAGCAAGAAGTTAGACGGGAAAACTTGCCTGCTTCTGCGCATCAAAATTACAAAAGTTTGTGATGGGACTAAAGGAAACAATACCTCAAGCCGGCGGGACTGAACTCCATTCGCCACCAAGAGAACCACCATTCCGGTGAACATCCCATCTGGGTCGATCAAGGGTTTTGCTTTTGCTCGCCCTTGGGGCCATTTGTCTTTATGGGAAGCCTTTGGCGCCATTTTGCTACGGACCGCAATCGCAACAACGCCCCAGAACAGAGTAGAATGGCAACAAGTAGTCCAAAGAAGAAGAAAGAAGTTTTCTACTTTCAGTTGGGTTCCAATACGGGCAGGCTCACTGGCTCAGTCTGCTACCAAATCATTCAATCCCATGGAAATTGGAACCAACCGTTGATTGACTGTCTGCCTAAAACGACGTCGTCCCATCCGTCCGGGTGGTGCGAAGGCAAACAGTACCTCTGGAACTGGAAGGGTTTATCATTTCAAGGTTTAAACTTCAAACCCCAGAAACCTAATCTAGTAATCTTCTTCCTCTCTTGCTGCTGCTTCTTTTTTTTTGGTAAGAACTTGCTGCTTCTTCTTACAACAAGGCAGATGCTTTTTCTTCATCGCTCCGCTCCGATGCTCCATTTCTACAAGCTCTCTTCGTCGCCGAAGCTCCTCCTTTCTCAATTGAGAAGAACTCATTCGTTTATCTCTGCCCCGTCACTCTCCTCTTCGTTTCCCAGGTCATCGACTTCGCTTCGGGTTCATCTGTTATGCCTCGTCCAATCCAACGGTGGAGGAGTTCGGAGCTTAGCTACAGCAGCCGCCGTTTCAACCGCCGCGGATCGTGGCGGCGTGGAGACTTTCTTCGCCGATGAAGGCGTTTCGTGGACTGCTCTCGGCTTGTCAGACACAATCTCTCAAGCTCTATCTAATGCCGGATTCAACCGTCCGTCTCTTGTTCAGGCCGAGTCCATTCCGTCGATTCTTTCCGGGAAGGATTCGATCATTGCGGCGGAGACTGGAAGTGGGAAAACGCATTCCTATCTAGTTCCTCTGATTCACAAGCTATCCGCTGCTAGTGGCGGCGCTGTTAGTGGTTCTGCTTCTGATAAGGGTTTCAAACCTTCCCGTGAAGTTTCTCTTGTTCTTTGCCCCAACGTCTTACTATGCGAACAAGTGGTTCGAATGGCGAATGGTCTTCGTGATGGCAATGGCGACCCACTTATCAAAGTTGCAGCAGTTTGTGGGAGGCAGGTAGTATTGCAGACTAAAAAGTTACTTCTTTTGAAGTCAGTTGAGCTCGGTTTAAGTTCCTGAAGCTGCTACCTTTAATTTTTGCTTTTATGAAGGGATGGCCAGTTTATCAACCAGATATCCTTGTATCCACTCCAGCTGCCCTTCTGAACAACATTGAACCAAAGAAACAACGAAAGATGAGCTTCCTTCGTGGAGTCAAATATGTGGTATTTGTCTCGATTTTCTCCTCTCGAACCTTGCTGTTTGCTGCAACTTTTAGTTCTGTATTCATCTTTGATTTTAAATGGTATTTTCTTCATTGACTGCCAGGTTTTTGATGAAGCAGACATGCTTCTCTGTGGCAGTTTCCAGAATCAAGTGATCCGTCTCATAAACATGTTTCGTCATGATGAAAAGCTTCTTTCCTGGACAGGTCAACCAACAGCCGATAATGCTTCTGAATTGGACTTGGAGTCTCTGCCTCAGGATGCCTTGGAACAGGATGAAGAAGCTCAAGACGATTCATCACCAGCTGACGATGAAGAAATCGAAAGTCTTTCTGAAGAGGAAGAGTTGGAAGAGACAAATGAAGCTGATGGTTCAGTCCAGAAAAGGGGTTGGAGGAGAGTTCTAAGACCCTATGACCGAAGCAAGCAGTACATCTTTGTGGCAGCTACTCTTCCCGCTAATGGAAAGAGAACTGCTGGTGCAGTGTTGAAACGGATGTTCCCAGAGGCTAACTGGGTCAGTGGAAGCTACCTTCACCGCCATAACCCCAGGTGCTCACACGGATTTCAGAGGCTCTTTCAATTGTTGCACCTAGCTAGCCACTTTTGATGATGATAATGATTATTCACTTGGTCTGTTTTATTTTCAGATTGGAACGAAAGTGGTTTGAGGTTACTGTAGATAGCCAGGTGGATGCACTTATAGAGGCTGTGAAACACGGAGCTGAATCTGAAACGTCTGGTGATGATGATGTTAGTCGAACTATGGTATTTGCAAATACTGTTGAGGCTGTTGAGGCAGTAGCTAAGATATTGGAAAGAGCTGGAATCGAGTGTTACCGGTACCATAAGGACGCCTCTTTAGAAGAACGCGCTGGAATGATTGATGATTTCAGGGAGAAAGGTGGAATATTTGTGTGCACTGATGCTGCTGCTCGTGGGGTTGACATTCCAAATATCTCGCACGTCATTCAGGTACCTTTCCGTTAATTCTAGTCCATATTGTTTCTTATTTCTTACTGCCTTCATATGTTTCTTACATAATCATGAGAATACTGGTGAGGAAGATACTTCAGAAGCCTAATTTCTGAAGAATGCTGGTGTTCTCCAGGCAGACTTTGCAACATCAGCTGTAGATTTCCTGCATAGGGTTGGCCGTACAGGTCGAGCTGGTCAACACGGGATTGTTACTAGCCTGTTCACCGAGTCCAATCGAGATCTTGTTTCTGCAATTCGTGAAGCAGAGGAATTGGGACGTCCAGTGGTAATTTCTCCAATTCTATTTCGCCCGATGTTTTGTGCCCATTCTGTGTGAAATCAAGTGGCATTGAAGATCGTAATTAAACACATATTCTGCCATAGCAGTCTATTGACAATCGTCTTAATGTGCTTGCAGGAGACTGCATTTAGCAGGAAAAGAGGATTCAGGAACAAACTCAAGAAGAGAGGCAAACTTCAACTCATGTCGCAGTGAGCTTTTTAATGCAAGGAAAGCAAACATCAGATTGCAACCATGAGGTACTTGTGAAGGTGTTAGCCAACCAATGTACGATGATGTTTCTCCTGATTCACAAATCATTAGCGGGCACAAAAGGAACAAGTCGAACTGCAGAATTGGCTTGCTGCCTAAAAGGAAATCTTGGTATTTAACTCTTCAGTGATCTTTCATATTTCCTTCCCATCATTACCATGTAAATTTTATTGTATCCTTGTATGATTCGAATTTCGAATGATCACTATATGGAAGCAACTTCATAACAAAGTTGTTGATTTCTCGGTCCGATTCACCTCCCTCACACACCGCCTCCACAGCCATCTGCTTCCACTTCCTTGCAGCATCCTTAATCTCCAGCCTCCAGGCTTCTACTCCCCTCCATCATCACGATTTTCAAGCATCTAGCTACTCCCTCCCTCCTAGCAACCCTTGTGACCTTGTCTCCTCTTCCTTCATTCTAACACCAATCTTCCACATCTCTTCTATATGCTTGGCATTGGTGACCTGATCACTTCACTGCGGCATAGCCACTATAGGCACACCCAGGCTCAGCCCTCAAGGGTTCTAGCCGCAATGTGTGAACTGTGAATAAGCAGCTTGTGGCCGACAATCCAAGCGGATTGCATCCGGGGCTATTAATCAGTTAGCACTGTTCATGAGCGATTAGATATTCGATTTGAGAAAAATTTGCTTGGATTTCGACTCGTTCCCAATGCATGCAGTCAATTGATCCAATTATTATAGGAAAGTCACGACTTGAGACTTTACGAAGTAAGATCCATAAATCAACATGAGTAGGTGTGCGAAGATATGTGGCCTCGTACATGCTGATAATGTTGTTGCAAAACTTTCTGAAGACGTCCATCAAGATACTCTCACCCATAGGAACATACTCATCAAGTTGATCAACTGGAGAACCATATGCTAGCATGTGCATCACACCAGTAAGCTTCTGCTCTGGAGATAGTGATAATTGACCAAAGCTATCACGCCTTAGTGCAAATGAGGGGTCAAACCTCACAATGTCGCCCATAACGTGATAGAATAATCTTGGCTGCATCCGATAGCGCCTTCTGAATATGCGAGCATTGTATATTGGATTTGGATCGAAGTAATCCCTCATAAGATGTTGATTACATTTGACCCTTCCATGATCAATGTGACATCGGCTTGTAGTTTGACGACGACTTGATGAACCTGCAGCTAGCCTTCAGTCCATCAAACTCAAACGTAGGTGGTGAAACCTTTCGTACTCTTCGATTTCTTCTTCTCCTACAGATGATAAGCTATCTGAGATACTCATGATGAATGTGTTTGTTTTAGAAATGGGAAGAAGTTTGATGAAAAATGAAGAACTGTCATTTATAAAGATATGGTCCACAAAATGACAAAAAAGGTCGTGAAGTAACGAATAAAAAAAATGTCATATTTTAGAGTTGCCCCGAAGTTAACGATAACAAATTAACGACTAATTTTCCAAAAAGAAAATTGTCTCGGAATTTTAAAATAAAATTACATACATTTTTTTTTTGTTTCAAAAGTAATAATGAATTATAAAAAAATTAAAGTGAAATACAAAAATTTGAGGTCAAATAAGTATGTTTAATTGAAATAAATTGAAAAAAAAGGTGGGAAGCTAAATTTAGCTTTTTGTCGGGTTAGTGAAAATGATATTGGGGAGCTTATAAGTCATATGTGACTATTTGGAGAGCCAAATTTGACTTTGTGGGTTGGAGTTAAGTCTTAGAGTTGAGTCTTATATTATGCTAATTTGCAAGGTTATTGGCACCGAACCCATGGCTAACAATTTTCAAATCTGGAAGGCCAAATTTGACTTTGTGGGTTGGAGTTAAGTCTTAGAGTTGAGTCTTATATTATGCTAATTTGCAAGGTTATTGGCACCGAACCCATGCCTAACAATTTTCAAATCTGGAAACGCCTGGTAATAAAGCAATATGAGCAGAGCAGAAAGGATGGGTGAACAATTGGAGGTTTTCTATGCAACAGTTTGAATCGCCTGGACTCTTCTTCTGAAACCACAAATACATACATTCTGGTTTTATTATGAACAGAACAAGGTCAAAGTACATGCACACACCATTTAACACAGAAAACAAACCCATAGGAAATCAGCCCATGTCTCCCAACTCTAACACAGACTGGAGGAGGGTGAACAATTCAGGAGAAGCAAAACCTCACAACCTATTTGTTTGCAGCTAGCTACTAGTAGATAGTACTCCACACACCCTAAAAGAAAGCTCCAGAACCCTCAGCTCCAAGGCTTTACTGGGCGCGCAGTTTGAGACTGGAGGGTACCCTACAACAGAGATGGTGAAAAGGCAAATGATGGAAGGAGGCAAGAGTAAAGTTAAGGGCACTTGGGCTTGTTGCCATGGGTGATCATATCGGTGTAGCATCGGCCGCAGAGCTCTCTGTTGCCGGAAGTGCCCGGTGGAACGCAGTTGCACCTGTAGCAGCATGTGTTGCAGGCCCTCACGCACACATTCGGCCTCGAATGCGCGCTGCACCTCGCGTTGCACTTCCCCCCGCAATCTGCCTCCCCAGAATCATAATAATGTTTTCATATGAGATGAGAAGATAATCGACTTTCTCAGTAACAGAGGACTAATATGAATTGGGAAGCGATCTTTTTGCCTTGGATTACAAATTCTGAATATAACAACTAGAAACAGTTCAACCGTGCATGCACCTCTGTTTGCTTACCCAAGGACGGGAAGAGGAGGCGTCGGTTGTTGGGGTTGAAGTGAACATAGTTGCCTTTGCTTCTCTCCGCCATCCCAACTTCAGCTTCATGATCTCCTTCTGCAGAAGCCGCATGCTGCAGAGTAATGGACAACACTAGGACCGCAGTCAGAAACAGAAAGGGAGGTGAAGAAGCCATTTTTGGGTCACTAGTAGCGTTTGCAGAGTCGAACTGAAGGTGATGAGAAAAATGGGTTTTCTTTCTTGCCTGGGCTCTCTTTCTGTTAAGTGGAAAGTGCAAACTGTTTGTGCTATATATCACCTTGGACCTCTGGGTTTTCATTTTTCAACCCCATGTGTCACTGTTGTTGTTCATTAATGAAGAAAGCACCCGCGGTTAATTTGCTCTGCACCATCTTGGTGAAAGAGTGCTTCCCCCAATCGGCGAAATGTAAGACTGGCTTTTATGGCCTTCACATGGCAAGAGTAAATGGCAAGAAGCCATGGACATGGTGCCGTGCCGTCGTTTTGTGAAATATAGTAAAAGGATTAAACGCCAGAGATGGGAGGAAGAGGACGATTTCGTTACAAATGGCTTCCAGCCACCACCACCAGCTGTAGTAGTAGATGCATTGCTGCCTGGCATTGCCTTTACCACCGTCTGTGGGCAGGACGACACGACGACTGAATAATCAAAGACTTTCTTCTTCTGTAAGACGAGAGCATCCAACTTATCAAATGGTGTAAAACCCTAATGCCAACACAGCAAACAGCCCTAGCACCGCCACGTCGGTACGTGACTCATCCTTCATTATCAAGCCAACTAACCCTGATGCAGGTTCTCAGTAAGTCTAAGACTATACCCACCCGGTCCAGTCTCCTTTCTCAAGTTTTTCTTACAGTCACCCAAACCAAAGGAAGCCTCAACTGACAAAATTCCGCGTATCAAAATCCTTTACCATTCACTCCCCTGTCCCGCCTCTCTGGCTTTTCATGAACGTTGTTATGGAAGGAAGTCTTCATCCACTCCACAATGACAAAGTACAGAAAAGAATGGCCGTTGCTTGCTCCTTCCTTCCTGTATGCTGTCTCTAGTAATTCAACTGTCGCCTTCCCGTCTCTAAAGAGTAGAGAGAGTTTAGAATACAATGTTCACTTCCTTTTCGTTCATCTCAAACACATGGTCTCTTGCATCACTCAGCGCGCTCTGCACGGTATGGAAAAGTAGCCAAATTATAACCACACAGGAGGAATGCAAATGGAAAACAATAAAACTATGGAGTGAGGGAAGGGAACGAGGGCTGATCTAAAACCTGGCCAAATTTGGTGAGGAAGTTGTTTGCAAGGTTTAGAGAGGTTATTTTGACGTCTTCGTTGGATTTCAGTGCTTGCGCAATGGCAAATGCTCCATCGTCCTGAGCGCGGAGAGAGCAGGTTAATCAATCAGAAGCAGAACACGCAAAACTGCTGGTTTGGTGAATGGAGGAAAACACATATACTAAGAAGGAAAGCGTATATACTCGAATCTCATTGAATCCCAGGTCGAGTTCTGTCAGGACTTCATTCACCACCTTCAAGCTACGAGCGAGGCATACTGCACCCTGCCAATATTTCCCCACATGAGATTTGGATAAAAAAAACACTTGCAATGAGAACAAATAGAATGGGAACTATCTATGTTGTGGAATGTACTTCGTCTCTCAGTCCATTTCCTCGCAAGTCCAACACTGAGATGGTATTGTTGTATTTCAGAGTTTCTGCAATGTGCTCTGCGCCTTTAGGGCCTATCTGTAGGACGTTGAAAACATAGCGTCACATGTGTAACAAAGCCATAGTCTGTGTAGCAACCTTTTCTTTTCGGGTCAAATTCATCAGGGCTTACCTTGCACCAACCAAGCTTCAAAGCTTTGACACTGCCGTGAAACTTGAGAATGTCGGATAATGCCTTTGCTCCATCCGCTTCAATGGGATTATAACCCATTTCCAGCTGAGAACAAAAGGACAGAAAAAGCACACGGAGTATGGTCAAGACCAAAATCTCCGCCAATGAACCCCAAAAACCAAGGGAAAAGAAATATCGCTAATAAGAACCCACTGTTGCGATAACAGAGTTATCTTTGAAGACTTGAGCTATTTCAGTGATCCCCTTGGTCCGTATGTTATTTCCTCCCTGCATTGTTCTCACAATTGTTTCTTAAAACAGGTCCTTGTGTCATTATTTGTGCCACATTAAAGGAAAAATTATTACATAGTATGTCTTCTCACCAGATCAATGATTGTTATACTCCGGTTCTGCTTTAAAGCCTCGGCAATTTTTCCAGCGCCCTGACAGAATTAACAGGAAACGGACAAATAAAAAGGTTCGTACTTCAGCAACTATTTGATTACTGCCATACACAATGCTGTAAGATAGAAATACACTTCCTCGATGATTTCATTACCTCATCCCCTATGTCATTCATGTACAAGTTCAGCCAAAATAAGCTTTTGCTCTTCTTGGCGTACTCAGCAACATAAAAGGCACCCTTTGCGCTAATTGAGTTGTTGCCAAGGTCTAGATGGGTTAGTTTTGCTGAAGAGCATAAGCGAATGGTTGTCAGAATCATTAAAGATGAACATCTGAACTGAGTTTTAAGTAACTTAAAGTATCGCGAGTGCAATCTGGCAACTGATATTGCAAAGCCACACCTTTACTAGAAGACAACCCAGACATCAAAGCACGAGCTCCTTCATCTCCAATGGAGTTTCCTTGCAAGTGAAGTTCCTGGGAAGATGAAGCCCCGCTATATTAACATGATAGGACCGAAAAGTACACAGAATCCGATGCTGCGTCTATGAAGCTCCATCAATGAAGAAGAATTACAGAAACATAAATATAAAGTTGGAAACCATTACCCGCAACGACTTGTTCCCTTCTAGTCCCTTGGCCAAAGCATTAGCTCCTAGTGCACCACCGTAATTGCCACTTAACACAAGTAAGAAATGAAGCAAGATTACAACAGAGCAGCTTGAAAAATGATCATGGCAAACTACTGATAGCCAGAAATTAACACAGGTTTTGAAGGAAAAAGAAAAATGAACTCAAATACTAACTTGAGATACAAACTTCGCAAAGAGTTGTTCTCAATCAATGCCCCAGCAAGACTTGTGAACCCCTACTTCCATTTCCGAAAGTAAATAGACAGTGTCAATTTCCCAACATTACTTGCTAATCAAGTTCTATTAATGAAATGTAGAGGAAAATAACGTACAGAATAATCAAGCATGTTGTTGTTTAGTTCAATCACGCGCAGGGTTGAGTTTTTCTTCAACAAGTCTGCAATAGCTTGTCCACCCTGCAGAAAACACAAGCATACATGCGGAGACATGCAGTCAGTTATAAATCTCAATTATGACATCTTGGTCATCTTCTCAGTAGATCAATATAAAGGGAAAAGAAGACCACCTCATCACCGACATCAGCACTATTCAGCTGGAGCTTCTCAATACCAGTATTATCCGCCAATATATTGCACAGAGTCTGTTCAAAAAATAAGACGGTACATCATAAGATATACAAAAATAGAATGGCCGGCTCTTTATTACAATGCGCTCTGCAGGGGACCCTTGTTTGCTAAAGCAATATCAATCTATGAGGGGGACTGCTTTGACACCACACAGGCTAGATTTGATTAAAATGGAGATAATTGAACAACTGGTTTGCGAGGTTTAATATCCTTCGGATCTGTGCAACCTTGAACCCAGACTAACCTTGGTTCCTTCATCTCCAATGGGGTTTCCAGAAAGGTTCAGGGTCTTCAGAACAATGTTTGATTGAAGGACCTGGTTGAAGGCATTTACTCCTTCTGCTGTAATTCCGTTTGCAGCAAAACTAACTTCTTCTAGATTCTGAAAACGAAATATGTACAAGGGGGAAAACATGAACAAGACGGACGCTAAGCACAACAGCAAAGAATTCAGAAGGAGCTGATTAATAGAAATCAAACCTTATTGTACGCTAAACTCTCAGCAAGGAAAAAGAGGCCTTCATCACCAAAATTACAACCTGCCAAGTAGTTGCGAAACCAAAAGCTCTATTCACTTATCTAGGGAAGTCAAAAGGGTACACATATTCACATAAGAACCATACACTATCCCTGTGATTTAGTCATCAAAAGCATCAGACAAAAAATCAAATAGATTGATCACTATACCTGCCATGTCAACGCTTCCGAATGTTCTCAACTCTTTGGCAAATGCATTGAGCTTCTGCTTGGCCTCTTTGTCAACCTTGGCTGCAAAACCTGAGACTAAATTTGTTCCAGCAGCGAAAGACCAACTCATTCCCTTGGCAGGAGCTTTATCTTCCGCTCCTGTAGGATTTCTTGGCTTTGGCTTGAGGAACTTCTCCACCAATTTCCACATAACTGTTAGCTGAAACTTCAGTTAGCATCACTCAACTCTGATGAACATAAAGCTATCAACACAAGTCCCCAACCACACTCCATATAACTGACAATGACAATGCCGCACCATAAGTCAATTTAAAGATTTCTTGTTTAAGGAAACTTGGGGTGATCAAGTTCAATAAAAAATAAAACCCAAAAGGCATTGCAATCCAGAAGCAGCTTTCCATACCAAAGGTAGCCACGACGAAGACGCCGGCAGGAACCACAAACGAAGCAATCTGCTCTACCGGAGCACCGCCGAAGCTACTCTCGCCTTGAGACTGCTTATAAACTCTACGGCCGCGGCCAGGCGTCGAGGCAGCAGCCTTCACAACTAGGCTCTTGAACCTGAAGCATCTTCTTCTCCTACAAGCAACATTTGAAGAGAACGGCAACAGCAGCGCTCCTTGAGCTCGATAACTCAACGCCGAGCTGCCGTCGGCCGCCGCTTCCAATTGAGGACCGGCCCTGCGAGCGGCGGACGGCCGAGGACCAATCTGTTGGAATTCGGAACGTTGAGAACTTGGTAGGTAAGTAATCAATGAGAAGGAAGGATAAAACAAAGAGGGTACCTGAGGATGAGAGCACAGAGAGAGTGTGGAAGAAGAACCCATGGGCGGTGGGCGGAGTTCTAAATGCGCATACAGTGGGGTAATGGTATAATCTTGCGCCTCGTTGCCGGAGCACGGCGGAGAAGGTGGTGAGGGAGAGGGATGGGATAGAAAGCTCAAAGCCGGGCGTCTCCGGGTAGGGGGGTTTCTGCTGTTTCAGTAATAAAATCAGTCTATCGCCAATTCGCCATTAACGTCAACGACCTACACAACACAGCTGCGCTTGGGACTTGGGAGTCCGTTTTAGAGGGTCCGGGTCGGATCGTCTCGATGGGTAAATTCGGGCTTTCTAGTCATAGAAATGAAGGCCCGATAGTAGCAGTCAAGCCCACGGCAACGACCGGATTAGATGCTGATGGGCCTCTTCGGCTTCTGATTTCGGGTCTTGTTTAGGATTGAGCATGCAGGCGGATCATTCGTGGGTTTGGGCCGACCCGCCCGCATTTGATCCGAATTTTGTTATGTGGGTGGGTGAACAGAAAGAGCAAAGTCGTTGGCGTTTGAGAGTGAAGACGTTAGACGGAAACTAGAACTGCTCATGGTGATTGAACCTCAAAGACAATCTTCCAAATTGCGATTCCCTCTACTTCCCTTTATTTTTTTCCTCTGAATCTTGTGCATAGATCACCTCTCTTTACTCCGTTGAATTATTTTCTTAATTTCCTGCACCTGATAATCATCTTCATCCATAAAAACTCCTTCATAATAGAATTTCTATTCAATTTCAGAACTAGTTCAATATTTTTTCTTCCTATTCCATCTTCTTGTTTCCCCCCGATTATTCTCTACACCAATTATCATATCATGCGACTCCTTTATATTATGTACATTGTGATATGGGTGAACCCGCAAACCCACCTACATCATCCACCATCCGCCCGACCCAACCCGAGACTAAATGTGGGTGGGGTGGTTGGTTAAAAATAGGCAATCCACTCAAGCGCGGGTGGGTGCATTTTATGGTCAAAATCAGCCTGACCCACCTAATGCCCACCCCTAGTCTTGCCGTTACCTCCTTCCTTAACTTTGTCGTTAACTCGTTTCGATTTCTCCCTATAATTACTAGCTTTTTACCTGGCATGTTGGCCGGTGAGTTTAATTTATCATTTATATTAATTAATTTATTTACATTTTTAGTTTATATTGGACCATCTAAATTTATGTTCTTGATTCGTATGTGAGTATGTGGTATGTCTATATTGAAAATTCTCAATATTTAGCACACTCAGTATGTGGTATGTTCTCTTATTCTGGACAATTCTCTCTCTTCTCTCTCTCTCTTTCCTTCACTCTGAAACAATCCTTCGAAATCGCGATGGGTGTCGTCGTCGGCGAGGCCACCCAAGGAACCGTCGTCGACGGTCGCCCTTGGACCTCTCTTTGGTATTGCGGTTGATAATCTCCTAGATTATGTGGAGCTTGTACTTGTGGATGGGGTTCATCAGATTCCCCAAGCTGTGCGTGATGAAGGAGCAAAACGATGGAAGAACAGTTTGGTGGGCCAGTTCTTGGAGAAGCCTCCTCCGTTATGGGCAATACGAAGCTGGGCAAACCGATTCTGGGGAAGAGATGGGCAGGTACGAGAGTATCTTGACTATGTGACCAATTGGTTCTATTTCAATTACCCTCTAAGGGTGCTTGCAATTGGGTATTTGAGGGGGACCTTGCATGTAAGAGACAATATGTTGTTTCTTAGACGATGGGAAGTTGGGATTAGAGCTCTGGAATTGGATAATAAGGCGCTTCCAATCCGGATTAAACTGATTGATTTCCCATTAAAACTTTTATCGAAGGATGGATTAGGGCGAGTGGCCATCTTAATTGGAAAATCGCTTTGTATGGATCAACCTACACGCAAAGGCTTAAAGCTAGGGTATGCTAAGATCTGTGTAGAGGTAGAGGCTGCTGCAAAGTTGATTGACCAAGTTAGGTTTGCTGTTGGAGGAGGTAGGGTCTTTACTATCAAACTTGAATACTGCCACTTACCAACTCGGTGCAAGGTATGTGAGGAATTTGGGCATGATTGTGATAGTCCTCTGGTGAGGTAAAGCGGGTATGGCAGAAGAAGGAGCTTAATAGTGTGGATATACCTAATTCTTGCAATATTGTAGCTACATCATATATGAATGGGGAAAGGGTAAAAAGGTTCTCTCCATCCCTTAATCACCCACTTCTGTTCTTGTTAATGTGGCTAGCAGTTCTTCTCCTCCTCCTACTCCTCAAGAAGCTCCCCCTGTTCACAAGGTACCTAAGTTGAAGATATGGAAGGATCTCCTGGATGTTCCTCAACTAGATTTCATGTCTGCAATTAGGGGAAGGGGTGTTATTTTACAACCATTGATACATGGTCAAAAGAAAGAGGTTAAAGGTGGCAAGGGTGGTAAGGGTAGGGGTGATAACCCCATCCCTCAAGATGAATTGCCTCATTTGGAATTCGAGGGTTTTTAATTACCCCTCCAAGCACAACTATGTGCTTGATTGCTTAGGTAGGTATAAGGTGAAGCTAGGTACTATATTGGAAACTCGTGTGCAGGCTAGCAAGTCATATGAAATCATAACTAAATTGACTGATTATGAGGTTTTGCCCAATTATAATCATGCCCCTTAGGGAGAATCTGGTTTTTCTGGAGGAACGGGCTGCAAGTGGTGAAAATTACTGATGGTGTTGACTACATATGTTAGTTATAGCAAATAAGGGGCCTAGCTTCTTTTTTACAGCAGTCTATGGTTCTAATGAGGAAAGTTTTTCAAAAACGACTTAAAAGCGAAGAAGATATCATATGATATGCAAGTGGTAACGAGAGGCAAGAATTTTTTATCCAAAAAATATAGATAATGGATATATAAGTCGATTAAGAAGCTATGAGTCGATTAAGAAAATAAGGGAAAATAAAATTGTCTTATTATCCACCATTAGATTCGAATTTTCTGAATCAATGGTCCAAATTTAATTATGCATTGTATCTGGAGCCCCAGTTTCCCACTCCTTCTGACTTCCTCTCCACATTTAATAAGCTTAAATCTTAATAGGCATATATGGTTGGAGAGCTAAAGAGTGTTAATTACATATTTCTCCAAGTTTAATATCAATGCTTGAAGTTAATCGTAGGGTAAATACAATATATTAGCTACAACTTTTTAAGTGTTCACATTTTTAGCCACAACTATTATAGCGGATCAAAATATGACTAACAACCTTTACCATTATAAATTTTGTAACAAAGACTGCCACGTGAGCGGCCACGTCAGAGTGGCGTCAGGTTACTTTTGAATTATAATTTTAAAACATAAAAAATTAAAAATTAAAAAAAACTTCCTCTCCTCACATATACTACCGCCGCCAAACCCTTCCTCGCTCCGTCGGTCTCAATCTCCTCCACCTAAATCTATTGCCGCCACCAAACCCTTCCTCATTCCCATCCATTCCTGCGTTGTCGATGTTCGGGGAGATCAGAGGAAGCGACGACTCACCTCTAATAGAGGGACAAATAGTGATATTTTGAAAGAACTTATTGTCAGGACGTATATGGGTCGGTGGAACGACATCACGTATATGGGTCTGTGGAACGACATCACTTATTGCGCAGGGCGCTTCGTCTCTCACACCGCCATCGCTGGAGGTCCTTCACTTGTCGCCAGCAAGGTTTTCTCCGCCACTCGCCTCAGTAATCAATAAAACCCTTCCAATAGCAAAAACACAAAAAATCCATCTGTCTCACTCAAAATCGCCGCCTCTACTCTGCTTCTTCTTGACAGGATTCAAAAATCAATCTTGGTCGCTCCGTTGCCTCCAGCAATAACCCGACTCCATTGCCGGTCACTAGACCGCTGCACTAACAACAAAAATGAGTTGGGAAAAATGAAACCCTAGAAGACTTGAGTGTTTCTCATTCATAGTTGGGTTTAAATACTCAAACTTGGTACTACAAGACAAATCGTACCAGCTTGCTTTTGGAGAACAATAAACATAAAACAAACATAAGACTATCTCCAACGACCAAATGCCAAAATGCTAGAAAGCTAAAAAAATTTGGCATTCAAAAAGTGGTTTTGCTCCAATAAGCAAAGCCAAAATGCTAGAATGTCAAATCTTCTCTTTTTGTGATAATCTAGTTTAGTGTAGATTTCATCACTTTAATTAGATATTTTGTAGATTATTAATATACAGTTAGTAATAATTAATTAAGACGAACGTTTCGATAAAATTTTGTTAAATTTTGACATAAAAAATTATTGTTAATGCTGGGTGTGTTCGAATGATAAGGCCTCAATACGTGAGTAGGGGCCCATGACCCTGGAATGGGCCGTGACAGGCGCCCATGAGTTTGGATCAGGAGAGCAAGTCGACCTGAGCGCCCGGTATGATGATGTGAGTAGTTGCACGTTAGGCGCCTAGGGTGCGCTTGATAGTTGTGCGTACCCAAAGTGGGCGCCCGGAATCACTTGCAAAGAGGGCGCCCGGAATCACTTGCATTAAATGCAAGGGTGACGTGGAAGTCCGTACGGAGAGATCCAGGTAAGCCATGATCGGCTATAAATAGTGAGGTTGGTAAGCATTTACTCAATTTGGTTTCTCTCACTAAAATAGTGCATAATAAGCACTTCTCTCACTAAGAAAAGTACTGACTTGAGCGTTGGAGGACTAACGGGCCACAAGGCCCACCTCTGTGAGTGCAGGCTTATCCACGAGGGTAAGGGCTTGTACGGAAGGGAAGTTGGAGGATCAGGCGGGCATCAACAATTGGCGCGACAGGTAGGGGGAGAGGACGCAACCAGACGGTAGAGGACGAGAGGAAAGGGCGCCTAGTTCCAATGGAAGAGGGTGGAAGTGAGGTTGAGGAACAAGTCATGGGGGAGGCGTCTCAGGAGGCAGGAGGACAAACACCTAGTAGGGAGGAGGATGAAGGAAGTGAAGGCCAGCGTCTGAGTTCGGAAGGGGCCTCGGTGACTAAGAAGGAGCTGTTCAAGATCATAGCCGATCAGGATGAGGCCATCGGGATGCTGAGGAGAGAGGTAGAAATGTTGAAAGAGGGTGCCCCCAGCCCCGGGACAAGGAAGAGGGAGTGCACAATAGAAGCTGAAGGGGAGTCCAGCTCACTCAGGCGCCTAGCCAGCATGAGGCGCCTGGCCGACTGCGGAGACTCCGAGGGAGAGAGGAATGTGTGGATACAGGGGCGCCTGCCTCGACAGTTCGTGGTAAGGCAGCCGTTGGCCAGGAGCGTGCTCATGGAGCCC